CGGGCCGCTCGGGGAGCAGGTGCGCGGGCCTCCGGGCGCGGACTCGCCGGGCCTCCGCGCCAGCCTTGCCTTCTGCTCGAAGTAGATGGTGCCCGCCACCGGGCCGTCGCCCTTCAGCACGCACACAGCCTTGGTCGTCATGACTCGCAGGGCGCGCTACGGTCAGGCTCCGAGGGCGCGACGAGAGAGCAAGGTCGCAGAGGAAAAAGACGCAGCAGGAGTCACCGGCGCAAAGCGGTGGCCCCGTGCCGCCGGGACTTTTTACGCCAGATCCGAGGCGCCGCCCACCCTGGCCTAGAACCAATCGCCACGCGCGCACTCCCACCCCCGGGGGCGCCGGCACGCAATTGGCCGGCCTGGCTCGCGGGCGGGGCCGCGTGCTCGCTTGCAGCTCCCTCCGCCTCGCCGGGGGCAAAACGTCCGGAAACCCGACGCCGAGAGAAAAAAAACAGCCTTTTTCCTCCAAGGGCTGTGAGGGTGGATTGCAGCACGTAAAGTTGGGAAAATGAGGTATGCATGGTACGCCTTGAAGATCGAAAGTCCCGTTGCCTAGAAGAAGCATTGGTTATAACTGATTTGCGTCGCGCCATTGTCGCATTTGTTATGTAGAAATCGGGACGCCTCGTGCTGACTGCTTTTTCGTAGCGTTCATTTTTTTACTATTTTGGGTTTTTGATGGTGTGTAAAGTCTGTACATCTCAATCCCTGGCTTTTCTTCCCATCCCGGCAGTTTTCTGAGCCCTCACTCATGTGGGTGGGGTGCCTGCATTCCGACCCACAGCGACCCTACAGGACAGAGTAGAAGGCTGTGATCTTTACCGACGCAGACTGCCACTTCCAACCCAGAGCAGCTGGTGGGTTTGAACCTTCAACCTTTTAGTTAGCAGCCGAGCACATTAACCGTTTGTCCCACCCAGGGACTCCTACTTTGCTGGCAAAACCCATTGCCATCGAGTCAATTCGACCCCAGATGACAGAGTACTGCGCAACACGCTTCCCAAGGCTGTAAATCTTCACAGAAGCCGACATCTTTCTCTCGCCAAGTGGTTGGTGGGTGGAGCGGCTTGTGGGTTGGAACTGTCCTTTCATTTAGCAGCCAAGCGCTTAACCACTGCTCCACCAGGGCTCCTGCTTAGCACAGAGTTACTTAGTTGGTGAGACAGAATTATGTGGTTTTTAAAATACTTTCCTGTTTGTCAAAGCTACAATCCTAAGGATACCAAAGTGGCAACTGATTGATTTCCACGTAATCTTTCATGTTAGTCTAGCCCCACTGCCACTACACTCATGGACAAATACCCAAACCCATTGCTGTCAAGTCGATTCCGACTCATAGCAACCCTATCGGAGAGAGTAGAACTGCACCATAGTTTCCCCGGAGCGCCTGGGATTCGAACTGCTGACCTTCTGATTAGCAGCTGTAGCATTTAACCAATCCGCCACCAGGGTTTCCCATGGAGAAGCAGAAGGGTTAAATACTGTTTGATACCTCCACACAACCTAGGCTTCCAACCCCTGCTGAGAATTTGCATTCCTAACACGTTTCCAGGCAACGCTAATGGCTGCCAGTTGGAGACCAATTCCAAGAAACACTGGTTCTCAAAATTTATCACACATTAAAAAAAAAATTATCATACATAAGAATCACCTGGGGATCTTGTTAAACTGTAGATTCTGGTTCAGTATGTCTGGGATGGACCAGCAAATTCTCAGCAGGAGTTTGAACCAAATTGAACTGGTTTGAAGCCCTGCATACAAGAGAATATTACTTACCATTCAAGGAAAATATTTCAGAATTTTTTCAAAATATTTCGCACTGTGAGATGATCAAAACCAGTAACAGACCAGTTCAGACTACTTTTGTGTTAAAAAAAAAAAAAGTACAAACATGAATTTACTGTGTTCACAGAAATGTCTAGAAAGATATACT